CTTCCAACAGTATGAGTTTCCTCTCTCCATCTTGTCTGTATGCCCTAAGAGAATGGGGCTGTGGCATAAAGTGCTGTGCCCTCTCCCTGCCCCAGCATAGCCTAGCAGAGGTCCTGATAAATATTTCACAGTCACTCAGAATCATCATGTGGACAAGTCACTTTATCTCCCTAAGCCTCGGCTTCCTCATTTGTGAACTGGAAATAATGACTGCCTACCTGATGGAGCAGTTGTGAAAATGAACCTGCAGAACGTGCTCGGTGAGTGGTGCTTCTCCCCATTCCCCCACCACCATCCCAGCCCCACAACGCGGCTTCATCAAGAATCACGTCCAAGGAGAGGCCTTCAGGGATGTGTGCAACCATTACCTCTGTGCCTGCAGGGAGAATGCTGGGCCGGCAGTGGAACATCCCAGATGGATGCAAGGCCATGTCTGACCCTGATGGTGTCCAGATATGAACTCTGAACCCTCCTTGGGGGCTTAGTTTCTGTGCCTGATCCAGTTCTCTCCTTACAGCTTCCAAACAGTATGAGTTTCCTCTCTCCATCTTGTCTGTACGCCCTAAGAGAATGGGGCTGTGGCATAAAGTGCCGTGCCCTCTATCTGCCCCAGCATGGCCTAGCAGAGGTCCTAATAAATATTTCATAGGATCTGAGTGCAGAGTTCTCACTTTACAGCTGGAGAGGATCTGAAAGGAGCATGATGTTCCTGCACAGCCCGGACTTATAGCCAGGTCTTCTGACCCACTCCACAGCTCTCTCTGCTGCCCTGTTGAGCTCATATCAGAATTGTTCTCTGCCTAGAATTCTTCCCAACCGCTCTGCTTGTCTCAATCTCATGTAGCCTTCAGGCCTCAGCTGAACTCTTACAGCCTTGACTTCCAACCTTGACTTGGTTCAATCAATCCCCCTATGCTTTGTTCTTACATCCTCTGGGGCAGATTTCTGGTTCCTTCCTGACGTACATGATTACCTTCTTCTTCTGTAACAACTCCTGATTTAACGAGGAAGAAATATGTACAGTTAAAAGACCACATTTTGCAGCCTTCCGGGCAGCTAGGAAGTTGCCGAGTAAGCCTTCCAGGAAATTGAGAAGGAGTCAACTCATTTTTTCTCTTTGCATTTTGTTCTTTGGACCTTTCCTTCATTTTACCCAGAACACAAATGTGATGACTGGAGCCACAGCACCTATTTTGGGCTTGTGCACTAAGGATATGAGAACAGAAAGATAGGAAAACCCTGAGGACTTTGTGGGAGCCACCATTCCCACCCTGGGCTCCCCTTTTCTAGACTTGTTTTATGGAAGAGATAAAGCCTTCATTTGTTTTCATCACTATAGTTGGATTTCTGTTACTGGCAACCAAATCCAATCCCAATTGATAGGGGACTCCTTGTAGTTCATGATAAATTATAAACTATAGCTCATAGTTCATAATTTTCATAGTTCATGATAATTATGGCCAGAATCATTTAATGTCTCCCTTACTAAACTGTGTGCTCTGTGAGAGCAGGGATCCCATTTGCCTTGTTTACTTCTGTATTCCCAGCAATCAAAACAGTGCCTGCCCTGTTAGTGCCAGTAAATGCTTAGCAAATCTTTTTGAGTGATTACATCCTAGTGAATATTTGGTGGTCTAGCAGAAGTCCTAAGGGATCATTTGAGGAAAGAGTGGCTCTGATAGTGGCCTTTGTACTCATTGTGACAGGCTGCCCCAGCTGCTAGCAACTACCTTTCCTTTCTTGGTAAGTTGACTCCTCAATATCTTCATTTAAAAATCAAATTTTTGATGGAGTATAGTGGCTCATGCCTGTAAAACCAACACTTTGGGAAGCCAAGGTGAGAGGATCACTTGAAGCCAGGAGTTTGAGACCAACCTGGGCAACATAGTGAGACCTTGTCTCTTATTTAAACAAAAATTAGCTAGGCATGGTGGCATGTGCCTATAGTCCCAGCTACTTGGGAGGCTGAGGTGGGAAGATTGCTTGAACCCAGGAGTTGGAAGCTATCGTGAGCTGTGATTGTGCTACTGCCCTCCAATCTGGGCAACAGAGAGAGAGACCCTGTCACACACACACACACACAAAATAAAAATAAAATTTAAAAAACAGAAGTTTAATTTTTTCCAATATGAAAGTCTCTTTGAAGATATTCTTTTATAACCTCACTACCTATGATAGCTGCTTAAAAATACACAAGGAACAAGCAGAACACACAGGAAAACTAACTTTTTTCTGTTCACTCTCAGTTCTATGCAGTTGCTTTTTCACATAGGCTCACGTAAAAATTTGCATCAACCCCCACTCTAATATCATACTAGAATTTTCCCACTTATTAAAAAGTTGGACTGAGTTATAATTTTTAGTGGAGAGACTGCAACCTGTTTTCCATTGAGGAGAATTACTTGGTCTGTTCCCTCTTCATTTTGTACTTTGTGTTTGAACGATGCTGTGATGAACCTCTCTTTGTGCCCAAAGCTTTTTCTGTGCTTAGGATTATTTCCTTAGATAGATTCTCAAAGTGGAATTATTTGGTCAAGGGAGGTACACATGTTCCAGTGTCATTTTGCAAAACAGGAGTCAATGCACGATTACGGGAATCTTAAGGGAGAGACCCACTCATTTTTCTTTTCTTTGGGCTCAATTTCCCTAGCTGTAAAACTGAGCAGGTCCAAACAGAGAGAGCTCTAGGTTCCCTTACAGGTTCGAAGCTCTGCTGATGGTTCAGGAATGAAGCTTCCGACGTCTTTCAGGGCATAAAGTCATAAGGCGACCTGGGTGTGTCAGCCATTGCCTCTGGTTCACCCTCTGAAGAGCTGACCTTCACCATGGGGAAGTGGGTCATTGGAGCCTCCAAGCTGTCTTCCTATGTCTTCCTCACAATAATACTCCTTCCCCAGCTGCCAGCAAGCTTATGCTCTAGTGCAACCCTAACCCTTCCGGAGAGGGCAGAGAGCTTCATATCCTAGAGTCTGAGGGATGTGAAGGTGGGGATTCACCTTTGACAGCAGTAGCAAGAAGAGGGCAATGCTTAACCCAAAGGGACACCTTGAAACTAGAACATCAGACCCCACTGCAGGCCACTGAGGGGCCTCAGCCCATGAGGCACATAAACTACTCATGTGCACAGCTAGAGATGCCATTTATGCTCTGTGACGAGGCTCCTCAGCCTTCTCCTCAGTAAGATCATATTACTGCATTTATTTTCATCTCAGTGACCTGCCAGACTGTGAGCTCCTTGAGGACAGTGATTCCTCTGATGTGTCTGCATCTGGGACACAGCAGGTGCTCTCTACCTGTTTTAAGTGAGCAAGAGAAGGGAGATGCCCCGATGTGATGGGAAGAATTCATGGCGAGATGGGGAGGAGAGCCAGAGCTCAGACAGGAAAGAGTGGGAGGGAACAGCTGACGGCGGGAAAAGTCCTGGGATGCTCCTTTCTCTGATTCAAGACAACATAAACTGAACCAACTCCCAGTCCCTGCAGCCTGGCCCTTCTTGTGTGTGCAGATTGTAGGCCCTGAGATGGATGTTTAGGGAATGAGTCCTCAAAGCATATACATTGGCAAGGGTGGCAGAGCGCTGTGGGTGAAGGAGAAGCAGGTGCAGAAAGAGGAGGCCAGGGGACTTTATGGCTCCTTTGTCCATCCACAAAGCATTAGTTTATTTATTCACTCATTTTTTCATCCAATATTTTTTAGCATCTGCTCTGTGTTATGTTCTGTGTTAGGTGCTGGGTGTTCAAGGAGGCAAATGAGAGCTGTGGCCCCTGCAAAGGCCAAGAGCACACTGAGGAAACGTCAGTACCTGGGGAGGTGGTGTGTGGTGCCCAGCAGAGTGTGTGATGGGTGACGGGCATGGGCGGAACACTCACACAGAAGTGGCAGGGTGCCACAGGGGTGGCCGCAGGGGTGGCCATGCGTGGGGAAAAGTGACTGCCTGGTTTGTCAGTGGGCCCTGTGGACAGCAGTGAGGCAACTCTCATGCAGTTCTGCAAATGGCACTCCAAAGGAGAGCTGGAGAATAGAGGAGGGAAAAACGGGAATTCCTTGTCATAATTGGGTAGAGCTGTGGAAGGGGTGAAGGTCATGAGTGGGAAACATGAGCCTAGAAAATATTGCTTACACATGAAAAACTGTCAGCCAAGATCAAACAGCAAATTACAACCTGACATGCATGCTAGGGTCATGTCTGTGAAAATTCTACCTTCTGGAGGTAACGTGCAAAAAAAAAGAAGACTATTGATTGCATGATGGGGGTAAGCTTATGGGTGATTTGTTAGATGGTTTTAAATGTTTAATCTTATTATGTAGTAGCTATAATCTTATCATTACAGTAGCGATACTAAAATTGAGGAGTAGAACAATGATAGAGTTTAGGGGGATGAGAGATGTTTTCTTGAGATTGGTTTCACATAGTAAAAGGAAACCCAATAAAAGTAAGATGGAATGAATCCCCTCCACGTCTTCTTCTGTGACTGGGTCAGGCAGCTGTGAGCAGCTAAGAGAAGTCCTCATCTTACAGGTGGTTCAGCTCCACTTCCACTTCTTTTTGCAATTCACTGGGGATTATTTGTTTCTCTTAATGGGCAACAATTAGCTAATACCCCACCACTGCAAGCAAAGTAAAAGCTAGGCCTGTGTTAACAGTTCTCTTTTTGATGGGGTCATTGGTGTAACTGATAACTTCTAGCTGTATTAGGACTGGTAGCACATCAACATTGCTCCTCTGTTGTGAAAGGAAAATAGAAACGGCTAAGTCAACCGTACATAAAGGCTTATATTTGCTCTTCAAAAGTTTTTTTTTGTTTTGTTTTGTTTTTTTTTTTAACATATCTTTGCTGGGGTTGGGCCATAGCTTGATGGATATTTGTTGAATGACTAATTATTGACTTATAGGCTAACAGCCTCCTTTGAAGTAGGCTGAGCAAACAAACCATTAAGTGGAACATGGTGTCTAGGTTACACAGCTCACTCATCTGCTGATCGCTGGGGCACACTGCTTGGTTATTACTACCTGAGACTCTGAAAGGAAGCACTAAAAAAATGAAGACAGAGGAATACCAGGAGAGAGAGGAGGTTCAGTTAGACCTAAAGGTGGGCAAGAAGAAGAGGTGAGATCCTCAGTATTGAACAAGTGCAGTGCAGCACATAGGTGATGTCTTAACAGGGATCTCGGTCGATAATTGTTTGGTTGCAAGAAACAGAAGTATTATAAATTTAGCTCTCAGTAATAATAATGATTTTGTTGGAAGTCTATAAGGAATCTCACCGAATTCAAAGGCAGGGATGACAACCAGACCCATGAGAGGCTCAAGGTGTACTGGAAAGTTATCAGAGACTCTCCTAGCTTCTTGCCTGTGTTTCTCTGTTTTTTTTTCTCTGCAGACTGGCTTTCTCTGTTCTGCCTTTTCTCTCTTTCTTTCCTTCCTTCCTTCCTTCCTTCCTTCCTTCCTTCCTTCCTTCCTTCCTTCCTTCTTTCTTTCTTTCTGTCTTATTTTTTTGACAGTGTTTTGCTCTTGTTGCCCAGGCTGGAGTGCAATGGCACGATCTTGGCTCAGCACAACCTCTGCCTCGTGGGTTCAAAAGATTCTCTTGCCTCAGCCTCCCGGGCAGCTGGGATTGCAGGCATGCGCCACCATGCCAGACTAATTTTGCATTTTTAGTAGAGACGGGGTTTCTTCATGTTGCTAAGTCTGGTCTCGAACTCCCAACCTCAGGTGATCCACCCGCCTGTGCCTCCCAAAGTACTGGGATTACAGGCCTGAGCCACCACACCGGGCTGTTCTGCCTTTTTTAGGTTTAAACTTATTCATTTAAACCTGGACATGATCTCTCAGGTTATAGGTCCAATACCAAGAATCTAAGTCCAGAGACCCGGGAGACAGAATCTGATTGGTCAATGGCTAGCCAATGGGGTGCCTCCCCTCAGTCAGGAGTCCATCGCTGTTCCAACAGCTGCAGCCAGGGAGAGGTACATGAATGCGGATAAACATGGCGGCAGGGACCTTTCCTGTGGGTGGTCTGGAAAGGAGGCACTGACTGAGCAGGCAGCACATTGGCTAACATGTCTGCTGTGGGAAAAACTGGAATGACTTGGCTGTTGGATGAAATATTCAACCACATGTAGAAAATGCCCACCATGTATTTTTAAAAATGAATAGCTTCTGAAGGTTGGAGTCCAGGTTGCCATAAGGGTCTACATAATACTTGATTTCCAAGGACTTTCCCCCTCGTTTTCCAAGTCTTTGGAGAGCGCAGTTAGTAGAAAATGTTAATGGCCAATTTTAGCAAATGACCATTTTGGTACTCCCAGGCCACTAGGGCTGACTGGAGCTAATTTTTAGAATGCCCCCTTGATGATCCTGGTAACTTGTTTAATATTGACCTGGAGACACGGCGTGGGCCCAGATCCAAATGTACGGCTAAGCCTACATTTGCTGTACTTGTGGGCAAGGAAAAGCCGCTCCAATTACTCCATGTGGATTTCTCGTCTCTGAATACTCCGTGAGTTGTCTGGTCTCACTGCAGAACTGCGGGGTGTGGTTGGGCAGGTTGTGCACAACTGTGCTCATGACTCCCCTTAGACTCACACGGGAGCCTTGATTCTATGCTGGTTGCACGGTTTCATTGCTGTGCCTCCAGGTTCTCCCCCTGGACTGTGAGCTCTGGGATGCAAGAGATGGGACTTCCTCTTCTATTGCTTGCCCAAGGGGCTTGTGCAGGCCTGGCCACTCCTTTCTCTCCCCTGTTCCCTCTGTCCCTCCGAGGAGACTCTCAGAAAGACCCTGCCACCCATCCTCACACCGGATGTGAATGGAGGTCACTGCAGTCCCTCTCGAGGGCTAAATTTTAAGGCCTGTCTTTCACGGTGGCAGAGTCGATGTTGGCATCTCCCAGTGGGCAGGGAGAGTGCTTTCCCGTGGAGTGGGTTGTGCTCAGTTGTGAACTCACACTCAGCGCTGGTAAGACAAGCTCCAAGGCAGAGGCTAGTTTTCCACGTCTTCCTCATGAACACGTGGTGGCTGCACTAGCTTATCCACAGGGCCCTCCTACTCTAAGCTTCTGGTCCCAATCAGTAAGCGACTGGCCCTTACTAGACCCCCACCTACTGGGTATTTGGCTGATTGACGGAGTCACCATCTCTTTGCTTGGGCACCTGGAGCCCCTGAGCTCCAGTCCTTGCAGGCCTTTCCCTGCAGAGCCCAACCGCAGGGTTTGGCTGATAGCCTGGAACTGCCTCACCATCATTTTTCACTGGCCCCACCCCAAAGGACAGCCTCCCCAAGTAACCTTTTTCAGTTGCTCCAACTTCCCTGGAGTATTGACTTAGCCAGAGAGCACGCTCCCTCTCTAACCTCGGTGTGTTTGCTCAGCGGAGGAGTGGGCATTAGGTCCGCTTGACTCCATGAGCACACAGGTTCCTCTGTCTTTACAGGAGCGTCCCACGGAGGGGGTGCGGCCACGGGCAGGGGGCACTGAGGAGGGAGGCGCAGCTTCCTGTTCTGCTGCCGGTTATCACAGGCTGTTCTAATGCTGCTCAAACAATATTGAGAATAACCCTGGCTCAATAGCACCAGTGTTAGGCTGCAAAGTCAATATTGGCTGAGCAAACACAGCAAATAAGGAGTTGCTATTTGCGTAGCTATGAGTACTTGTGTGCTCCGGCTGCCTCGACAGGGCCCTTGGAAATGAATGGGAAGGAGGAGGGTGTCTGGAGGTGGAGTGGGTTCGTGAGAGGGGCTAGGCCAGGATTTCTCACCTTGGCATTGTTAACAATTGGGGCCAGATAGTTCTTTGTTGTGGGGGACTATCCTGTGCATTGTAGGATGTTTACCAGCAGCCCTGGCCTCTGCCCTCTAGATGCCAGTAGCACCCCCTCCTGATTGTCCAGAGAAACCACAATGTCTCTTGCCATTGCCAGATGTCCCCTGGGAAAGGACAGAGGGCAAAACCTCCCCATGCTGAGACACACTAGGCTGGGTGCAGGACAAGGCTGAGGAGCAGACGGGCTAGAAAAGAGAGAAGGGCTAGGAGGGGCCCACTATGCCTCTTTGACCCTCCAGCTCTCCAGCTCTCCAGCTGGGTCTCTCCCCAGTCTCTCGTGAGTGCCAAGAAAAGCCAGCCTCTTTAAGAACTAGATGCAATGTACAAGTGCCTCTTCGATAGAAGAGCCTTTTCAGCTGCTGGCTGGATGTCTGTGGCCACCTCCTTGCCCTTGCCCTGTCTTGGAACTCACTCCTGTTCTCCATCCCGAGAAAGAGAGAGGTTGTAAGATGCTCAGATAATTTATGTCTGTCTCTCTCTTGTAGAATTGCTGGCACGTTTTGCCCTGGCCGGTGACCTTCTCAGTCAGACATGCCTATTTATAACAATCTGTCCCTGGCTCTACTTCCTCCCCTTTGCCACAAGGGATTGGCTCGTGCATTCTTGAATGCTGCGAGTGGCCAAGGCTGGGCCTGTGGGAGGGCATGGGGCAGGGAGGGGAGCCAGGCATGCTGGCCAGAGGGCCTCCCTGGGGACAGCCTGCACCAGCTTGGTTCTCCCTCAAGCTCTGCGGGGTCACATCCAGGTTCACCTTTGGTCTGCTGCTGGGAGGGCGATAGAGACAGTGTTTATAGCCTGGTGAAGGCCAGGGTGCCTCAGGGGCTTTCTGTGTCATAGCCACCAGTCCTCACAGCTGGGCCATAGCTGGAGCAGGACGATGTTCAGAGAGGCTGTGCTGAGGGGGCTGTGGCCACATCTTGACGCCTGGAGACTTCTCCTCCAGGCCAGGCTGCCACGGCTCCCAGGTTGGGGTGGATTAGGAATGAAAAGAATGACACTGGCAATAAATGAGCATTAGACACTGTTCCTTTTTGAATGTTGATCCTTTTGATTGTGGTGGGAGCAGAAGGGGAGCCTGTGCTTGGGCAGCTGTGATGGTGTGGGGGTCGTGATTGCCATACCATTGGCTTTGGCTTCAGAAAGTGGCATCTTGGGAGGAGGGAAAACTCCTGGATCTCCAGATGTTGAGAAGGTAAGAACAGGCAGGCAGAAGAGAACCGGGCGGCCTCGGCATGGTGAAGCGGCTGCAGGGAGGTGGAAAGTTGTGATTTTTTTTCCTTTTTTTCAGAGTTAGCACACACTTTATGCACCACTCTATTTGTCCTCTCCGCTGTTCCCCTTCCCTCCTTCCTTAGACAGAAGAGGAGAAGATATTTGAGAAACCTACCGCAAGCCACTCCCTCCTAAAGGTACTTGTGCAAGAATGTTTCACAGAGCAATGGAAGCCTTTCAAAACTTGTCAGACCCATTGCCTGATTTCTTTAGAGACTCGGCAGGGGCCAGGTTGGCATGATTAGACTCAAGGCCCAAAGCTGGAAACATTCCTGAAGCAGCCATCCTGATTGTGGGGTCACCTGGGGAAACAGGGATCCCTCCCTCCAAAGCTGATTCTGCATTTGGAGTGTCGGGGAGGGCCTCAGCGCCTGGCCCACCCCGGTCAGAGCTCCCCTGCTGTTGCCTTATCCTGGTGCCCCGCTTCCCAGCTTCGTGCAGGTGTATTTTCCTTTCTGCTTGGAAGGTGGGTGATGTGGGCTGTGGTTGTGGAGAAACAAGCCTCGGTGTTAGCAATGGGGATGGGGAGGTCCATCAGCTGACTTCGGTCCCACCTCTCTGGCATCCTGGGATCCTGTGTCAGACTTCATTTGAAGAGAGGCTTCTGCTCTTTAAAAAAGGAAAGTTGCCGCTATAGTAGAAAACAATGTGCCTTTCAAGCCGGGGTAACTGAGTTTTCACCCCTGTTCTGTCACTTGCTGGACACATTCACAGAAGGAGATGTCACCCTTCTGAGTGTCGGTTGTCCCACCCGCAACATGGGAACAGCAACATTCAGCCTCTAGGGCTGAAGCAAGGATAAAACAAGACTGCTTGTGTGTGTGGTGACAGTGCCGTGCTCAATGCCATAGACACTCCGGAAATGGAAGCCCTTGATGCCTTTGCCTTCCCCTCTAGATCCTGCTCAGCTTCCTAGGCCAGTCCAGGTTGAGGCGCCACCACGTGGTCCCTTGGGACCTTGCTTCTCAGGTCCCCCAGTGATCTAGTCCCTCTTTGAGAGAGGGAGAGTGATAGA